TTTACAATATATTAATAATTAAAACTTATTTCCTATGCTATTTTTTTACATCAATAAAATTTACTAATAATCCTTATATTTTAAATTTGAAGATAGGGTTTGAATATATTTATAATGATTTACTCTTTCGGTCTCTTAATTGTTAATTAATTTAGTGATTTATAAAACTGATTATTTATTAGTTGGATTGTTTTACTTTTTAAAAATGTAATCACATATTATTAATTTGTATTTTTTTTTCTTAAAAAAATGTTCATTTGATAAGTTCTCATCAACAGAAATATTATGCGATGCGGTGCAAAAGTTCAATTTAAATAAAAATTTCAACCAAAAAACTTATTCTACGATAAATTATAGATGTTAATCTTAAATTATAAAGAGGTGAAATCTCTTTTTTTATTGTTCAAAAATGTTTGTGGTTGGTACTGATTCTAAGTTTTTAAAAACATGATAATACACATATCTATATTTATATTTATAGTAAATACATTTTTTTATATAAAATGAGTGTTTCGGCATAATCTACAAGCTCGTTATTTAACATTTAAGATTGAGCCCTCCTAGGTAAGATTTCTAGATCCGTCATTGACCCTCGCGCAAAAAATAAATTGTCCATATTATTAAGACAATGCCACCATCGTTGGCCATAGCTATACCATTTGACTGTGCATGGAGCATTGATATATATCACTTCCGACCGTTACGATCCATTCTTATTTCTTTAATTATGACTTATCTACTTCTACATATATATAATATATAGTATGTAACTTTGTATATAAGTTATAATATTTACCCTTGTAAATATATTTAAGAAAAGGTTTTAGTCATTTTATTTATTTGCATAGAGTGATTTCTTTTTTAAGCACCACAGAGCCCCAGATCCTTGTTGTCCCCTACCCCAATTCTATTTATACCCATTCTATTCCTATTCTATTTTAATTGCCACAATTTCTTCTACTTTTGCATGTCAAGAAACTTAATTATTTCTTGTGCAGATATAAAATACGTGTAGGTAAAGGACTTCGGCATATGAACTGTATATCATGTTCCAAATTGGTTGGCTAATTTAATTTAATTTAATTTAGGCCATATCAAGTAAATGAAGATTAATTACCGCAGCAAGAAAAAAAAACCTATATTTTAATTAGTTCCGATTTATAATTATATGAAAATTTTAAATCTAACTAAACCATTAACAGATATTAATTATCTTTCTTTGGCCCTCTTCAATTAATTTTTTCTCCTTAGTTTTTTGTTCCCAATGATCAAATTATAAACTTCATTTGCTCCTAATGTAGGGAAGCGTACGAATTAGAAGGATAAAAGAGATACTCTTTCGATCAAACTCACAGTCAATTCATATTTTAATTCAATAATCAACTCTCCTAGTAACAAAGCAGAAGAGTCATTTAAATAAAATTTTCAAACTGAATCCAATAATAAACTCTCATTCCCGTTCATCTCATGACAGGAATAGCCCAACGTTTCCCCCGATCGAACACAAAGGTTGAAAGTCACCCAACAACCTCAAAAATAAATATATTCTTGGGCAAGGATTGAACTGTTGCAAAGGCAAAGCATAACCCACACAGTTGAATTAACACGAAACGTACCACGTCGTTCGCCGCGCTCAAATCCACAACTACGGCCAAGCATCCTGTTGTTGTGCTTCGCGATAGACAATCGAAAAATGGTCCACCAGTTATTGAGCCTCGGCTTCGACTCCGAAAAACCATCTTTGGGCAAAATACTAAAAAAAGTGGGTGTGAATGACGACTTCCCATTCAAGACTCAACCGTTGCGACGTCTCGCGCAGGACCCATATTGCTGCAAAAATATGTCTTCATCACCGAAGGCTCCTCATCAAAAATGGGAGGACCGCCGTAAAATGGTCCGTCACCTTGCTTCGCGTCGAATCCGGGGATGTCAGCACAAAACGGGCCCACCTATTGACCTAATTCGTCACCAAAATCCTCGCCTTTAGTAGCCCGATGAAAATCACCGTCTAGGGCTCCTCGCGACCCTCCGCCTGCAGCAGTTCTTCGGAAATCACCTACGCTGGGCGGGAATTAGAAATCAAAACCCTCTCTGGGCCGCCGCTAGCTGCAAAATCGGGCCACACCTAGGGTGTCCTCGTCGTCGCGGTCGCCGCCATGTACGAAATCACCTCCAGCTCGCCGCTGCTTGCGAACTCGGGGCTGACCTCGGATTTTGTCTCCTCGCCATGGTGGTCGGTCGGACAACGGATTAGGCGACTAGGTAGATTCGCCATCGTTATTGTCGTTCAAAGGTAGCAGAGACTGCTGTCGGGGCGCCCCGACATGGCTGCGTCCCCCACGACCGCCTCTGTCTCCCCCGCGATAGTCACAGCCTCCATCGTGGTTCATCTGCAATTCCAGAACAACCACGTTGTTAAGCGTCAAACGCAATTAATCCGTGATCCCCGTCAAAAGATCGACAAACCAATCCGTGAAACGCACGTCCAATTGTTGAAATCGGTAGTCGATATGTCGAAACCGATCGTTGAAGGTTGCATCACATCGTTCGTTTGCGGCATCTTGTCGTCCCGACAGCATCGCGAATCGTAATGACTGTTGATACCAACTGATGTAGGAAAGCGTACGAATAAAAAGGATAAACGAGATACTCTCAATCAAACTCACAATCAATTCATATTTTCATTCGATAATCAACTCCTCTAATAACAAAGCAGGAGAACCCTTTAAATAAAATTCTCAAACTGAACTCTATCTTATTCTCCAAGCTAAGTAATAAATTATTATTATTATTATTATTATTATTATTATTATTATTATTATTATTATTATTATTACTATTATTATTATTATTATTATTATTATTATTATTATTATTATTATTATTATTATTATTATAGTGATATCAGCACGGTTGCTATTCCGAAAAAGCTAACTAATGTCATAACTGTATAATAGTGATATATAACCTAATTATGATCATACATATTATATTTTATATATGGAGTGGTGGATGCCCAATTTTTTGTGATGGTAAAAAAAGGAATAAAAGGGTAGATGAAAAGAGATGGGTTTGCTTGAAAGCCTAACCGGATATTGTTAGTTCACTTCACTACTTTTCTTCAAGTTTAAGAGTGTCATTTTGTGGGCGATTGGCTGCATAATAAAATCACTTTTGACTGATTGTATTATTTTTTACCTTCTTCAATTCAAAACTCAGTTCAATTATCTTCAATATTATCAATATAATTAAATAATATTAATTAGTAATCCTCGCACATCACATCAATTATAATTGATTATTCATTTACTCATATATATTTAACTACCTATCATTTTAGATAGCATAACGTTTACATCACACGAACTTTATTCATCTCTCCCTATATATTAATCCAAACGTGTTGAGCCTAAGTGACAGACTCACATGCTTCGAATGTTGACATGACAAAAATCTATGTTTTGGGATGTTGTTTGTATATTAATGTATTGTTTTGTATAGACATAAATATTTTCTTAAACTTGGTAAGTGTAAATTTAATTTTGTTATTGTTTTTCTCTTATTACAAATTTCCTTCTGAATTTGGGCAAGTAGCAATCTTACCATATTATAATTTCTCTTATATTTCTCTCATAAATTACGATTTACTAATTACTTTCTGTACGGTCTATTCTTTTTCTTATCATTAATTAGTCCATCAAAATTTTTAAATAAAATTTTTATTTAGCAATATATTATTTAACTCAACACCCGTATAGTATACGGGTATTATACTAGTTACATTTTAAATACAAACTCTAAATTCTATTCAATCTTTCAGTCAATCACCTTTATTTAAAAATATACTTATTTAAACTCAATATTCAATTAAAATCGGTTTGATTTATATACAATTGCCCCCTAATAATAGTATGATAATAATATTTTATATTGAGTGAACGAGGTGGAACGCGCTTTTAACATCCAAACCCGCTTACTTCAGTGTTGCGTTTTATTCGGGAGTTTCGGTGGCCAAAACGTGACAACGACAATGGTGACACCGATTTAAAAACGTTAATTCATCTTTTATTTAATATTGCAGTTACCACTCTGTCATCTTTAGACCTCAACCCATAAAAACTAACACAAATTGTTATTAGATGCATCCTTTAAGCCTCTCATACTTTTTCTAAAAAATAAATAAAAAATTTATGTTATGTAATGGTATACTCTCATTTATGGTGTTTTCCAAAGAGTGGCATTTTAATTTAGTAGTATGCATATATATTAAAAATTACATACATTTTTTTATTGTTAGGCATAGTTTTTTTATCCGGATCGGCCCGGCGGGTTGACCCAGGACCTACCCGACTCGGAACCGGAACCGGTCAGGGTGGGCTATTTGGACCGGGCAACAAAGGACCTGGTCAAAACTCAGCCAACTTGGTCTTCACCCGGCCGACCCAGGGCATTGACCCGGGCCCATATATATGTATATATATTTTAATTTTTTTTGTTTTTAAAATAAAACTATGTATGTATGTTTATATAGTAAATATTTATCAGATACATATTATTAACACTTTAATATACAAATTTTATACACAAAACATTTAATTTTGTTACTTTTATTTATATTTATATGATAAAAATACTCTATATATAATTTCAAAATTTTAAAATTAATTATCTGGTTCAGCAATTAACCCGATAATCCGACGGTTGAATCGGTGATCCGGAGACTTGTCCAGATCGATTACTGGGCCGGGTTTAAAAACTATGTCGTTCGGCGTACCTTACAGATAGCTTGCTAGTAAAATACTTGCTCCTCACCACTTCTATAACTTTTTTCCAAATTGTTGTTCTGGTCCGTAAATGTTGATGAATTTAGGTCCGATCTCATACTTTCATCAATTAAAGAGGTTATTAATTTATTCATATATATATATATATATACTTCGGGGCGCGACCAATACGGGTTCGATGGTTTTGCGGGTCGCTGGCCGCGCAAACAGCGGCATATGGCTGCATTTTTCGGTGATGAACAGGAACCTGATGCCATGTGGGTGAGGGTTTTGTTGTTCCCAAGGCGCGCAAACAAAGGCGAGCAACGACTGATTCTGATGGCGAACGTGATGGCGTCGATCATTTCTTGGGCGGGTAGTTCGAGGGCTGCAGAGGGCCCCCGATTGGCCGTGGCTATAGCGGTGCTGAAAGTGTTTGTGATGGTCGATGGGATAGGTGTTTCGTGTAGACGATCCATTTTACGATGGACCGCCGGTTTTCGATGACGAGCCATTTTACGATGGTCTGCCGATCTTTGATGAAGAGTCGGAGAACAATCTTTACGGGGACATGGGAGTCGATGAAAATATCACATATTAGGATACAGAGACAGGGCAAGTGATGTCGACTTTCTCTACTGGAAAGATCCCTTTTGTAGGTAGGCTTAATCGAGATGAGGATAAACAAAATGCTTTGTTAGCAGGAACGAGTGATAAGAAGATTGTGCAGTGTCATATTAATATAGGATAAAGTACACAGGAGTATTATCAGCATTTAGGAGCGCTTAATACAATTACTTTTGTGTGGGACATTACATCAAGTTATGATAAGTCACTGCGTGTGTGGGAGTTTGGGATTCTGATAGTTATAAAGTATATTAGTGAGGGAAGGTATTGCAAAGTGTTTAGGACTCTCAAGTGTCGTGGGGGAAGCTCTTGGTTTTGGGATGAATATCAAGACAGTGTTGAACTGTTTGGACGACATTCAACCTTCATGTTCGATCGGGAGAAACGACGAAGATTTCTTACCATGGGTTCGACACCACACGCTTGTCACGAGAGCGCAAGTTAGGGATTTAATATTGTTGTTTAATATTTAGTAAGGATTCTTGTGTTGTTGGACAAGTTAGTATTAGAGTTTTAAGAGCCTTATTTAAAGGACCCCTCCTCTTTTGTGTTATTCAGTTGATCATTGAATGGAATATGATTTGATTGTGAGTTTTATCGAAAGAGTATCTCGTTTATCCTTCTCATTCGTGCGCTCCCCACATCAACACCATGTCTGTTAATTGAGCATGAGTCTGAATCCCTCTTCTATGCTTGCTCAATACAATGGCCAATTCGTCCAAGAAAGGAAACACTCCATTGATATCATCATTCTTTAGAAAACGGGATCGACGAGATCAACGTCAAACTAGTAAGAGCATGTAAAATACGGTGCAAAATGAGCATAATCTGCATTTTCTTTGTAAAAAGCTCGTCGAGAGCACAACTTCGGTGAATATTATGTGATTTATATTGAAATGAGATTTTAAAGTTCTAGCACAGTCTACTCTTAATTTTTAGATCCTTACCTGCATAGTTGAAATTATTTTTATCTAGACTTATCAAAACTTAAAAGAGGAAGTTAGTTCCATTAATTTCTCAATAAGACAAAATTAAACATGTTTTTATAGTATAGGGAGATTAGTGATTTTTTACTTTTGTTGCTAGTTCATATCTTTGTTAAAATAAACGGATTATACAGCTCTGATATTAATAACAATCAAAGGTGCATGTATGTGTTAACACTAGTTGTGCATCATAATTATGGAATATAGTATTTGATTAAGTAAGAATAAAGGCCAAGTATGTATCGTGTGCAAGAGTTGGAAAGGAATGTTAGTGGCTGCGAGCTACTTACATGTAAGCTGTTCCTTCACGAGCCCTCCCTCTCTCTCCACACACTCTCTCACTCACGTACCCACTTATTCATATTTACAGTATAAATACACACACACACACACACGGTCACTGCAACTATTTCACTCCACTCTCTGCCCCCGTTTCAAATTTCGATCTCTAGCTGATTATTTGATTTTCTAACCATATGGAGATTACCGGAGAAGTCGTCTCCGATCAGACGATTGCCAAAAGAAAGCGCACCAAGCGGCCGAGGCCCTCGTCGTCATCGTCCCCTTCGTCAAGCGGTGATAACCGGAACTATTCATCTCCGGCGTCCTCCACGACAAGCGCCGAGGACGAGGACATGGCCAATTGTCTCATCCTTCTGGCGCGAGGCGGTTCGGATGCGCAAGGAAAAGCCAAACC